GAAGGATGGTACTATAAAAATACATTGAGCAGAACAAAAGTTAGGTTTACATATCCCACTAAACCACAGGTCCCCAACCCCCCGGTCTGTGCAGCAGCACCAGGCTGTCGCATGCCAGAAACTGGGCTGTGCAGACAAGCGAAGCCTCATCCATGGGATGCAGGCAACACGTGTAACCATGCCCACACCAGTCCACGGAAAAACCTCTCTCCACGGAACCGGGTCCTGGCACCTCAAAAGTTGGGGGCCGCTTCACTAAGCCATGGTTAGCTTTGGGTGAACCCAACAAACTGGAGCTCCTTCGTTCAAGAATGGTTAAGCAAACCATAGCAAGTCTGGTGCGCCAAGCCAGCCCCAGCTATAAATGATGGCTCGCAAATCATAGGGATAGTTTAACACGATGCTTAAACACGGTATTGATTGACCGATTCTGTACCGTCAAGTTGGTGGTGATTCTTAGCGACGGAGGTGATCAATTCCCAAACTGGTCTTCCACCCATCACCGCTGTAATGGAGTCCCATCTCCCTTGCTGCTGATCGTCCTCTTCTTCTCTTTTCTTCCGCATTTTCCAGCATTACAAACTCTTCTCAACAGAGTGAGATATTCTTATTGATTGATAATGCGCTATCCAGTTGGTGCTGGTTCTTAGAAGCCACCTAGGTAGACCTCCAGGAAAATCCGTCCCAGCATTCCTTCAGGTCTTGCTCTAAGTGACTCAATTCATCTTGATTCAAGTGATCCTCTTTCTCTCTTTCCTTCCTCCGCATCATGGACTTCTCAGGAGAACTGGGTTTTTGCATTGACTGATTAAGTACAGTACATGCAGTGGTGGGATTCAAGTAATTTAACAACCGGTTCTCTGCCCTAATGATTTTTTTTTTTTAATTTGATTTATATGCCGCCCTTCTCCGGAGACTCAGGGTGGCTTACAATTGCGTTAAGCAATAGCCTTCATACTTTTGTATATTTATACAAAGTCAGCTTATTGCCCCCAACAACCAATTTGCCAAACTATTCAGAAAGTTAACAACCGGTTCTCCCAAAATGGTGCGAACTGGCTGAATCCCACCGCTGGGTACATCCCAACCAGTCACTGTCAACTCTTAGAGACTCATAGATAGATTTTCTCTACGACAATCTGTCTCCAACTTGGTCCTTCAGTTCTTCCATCGGTACCCATTATGCAGGGGTGAAATGTAAAATTTGTTACTATCGGTTCTGTGGGCGTGGCTTGGTAGGGGGGTTTAATGTTTAATGTTGGTAGGGGGGTTTAATGGGATTCTATTGTACATGTTTTTAACTTGTGTTCGCCGCCCTGAGTCCTTCTGGAGAAGGGCGGCATATAAATACATGAAAAAAATAATGTGACTGGGTGGGCGTGGTCAACTTAAAAAAAAAAAAACTTTTTAAAGCATTTTTTCTAATGCTTTGAAAAGCCTCTGCCGATCAGGCAACTCAGCTGGGATAGTCAGAGGGGCTTTTTAAAAAATGCTTTGAAAAGCCTCTCTGACATCAGGCGACTCAGCTGGGATCGTCAGAGACTATTCAAAGCACTTTTTTTTACCACCTCTTCGGCCAAGAGGTTGCAGAAAAAAATGCTTTGAAAAGCCTCTGACGATCTCAGCTGAGCCGCGGGATCATCAGAGGCTTTTTTTTTTACTTTTAAAAATGCATTTTTTTGTTGGAAGAGGTTATAGAAAAAATGCTTTGAAAAGTTAAAAAAAAAAGCCTCTGATGATCGTGCAGCTCAGCTGGGCATGGTGGGGAGGGGTGCAGGGATTTTTGCTACCGGTTCTCCGAACCACCCGCCGCCATCGCTACTGGATCAGGCGATTCGGTCCGAACCGGGAGCATTTCACCCCTGCCATTACGGTGGTAACAAGAGTCCATCCACCTTGCTGCGTTAGTCCTCCCTCTTTTTCTCTTTCCTTCCATCATTCCCAGGAACAGAGCCCCCTCAAGAGATCTGGGTCTTCACATCACCTATGAGAAGTAGGATAATTTGAGCTTGGCCACCAATGCCTTGAACAAGAACTTTGGGTTGATTTTTGTTTGACGATCCATTTGTTTGTTTTCCTGGCTGTCCGTGGTCTTCTCAGGAGCCTCTCCAAGTTCAGAGATATCAATAGTCTTCCTCTCCTGCTTCTTCAAAGTCCAAAGTAGGCTAATTTGAGGCTGGATATTGGTGCCTCGAATGAAAATTTTGGGCTGATCAGTTTTCTTACTTCACTGTCCACTACAACATCAGATTTTCATTTCAAATATCTTCCGTTGTGTTACACAAATCCAGCAAGTGGGGGTTAGTTCATCCTTCAAGATATGGGGTAGACCATGAGCTGTTATGATAGCAGTGTTCCAATTTCTTAGGGGCTGCCAGAAAGAAGAGGGGGTCAACCTATTCTCTAAAGCACCTGAAGGCAGGACAAAGAGCAATGGATGGAAACTAATCAAGGAGAGAAGCAACTTAGAAATAAGGAGGAATTTCCTGACAGTGAGAATAATTATTCAGTGGAACAGCTTGCCTCCAGAAGTTGTGGGGGTTCCATCACTGGAGGCTTTTAAGAAGAGATTGGAAAGCCATTGCTTGAGCAGAGGGTTGGACTAGAAGACCTCCAAGGTCCCTTCCAACTCTTTGTTAGCTGAGTAGCCAGGGCTCAGCATCTCTGTGCATGAATTCAGCTTTTGGGTACTTCTGTCTCCATTTTGGTAGGAAAATGGTGATGAAAACATTCGGATTTACACAACATCCTCTTGCAGGTCCAGGTCCAGACCTTGAAGTTGCATTCTTATGACATGTTAAGGTCCCTCAGACGCAACCTGGGATACAAGTAATCCTCGATTTACGACCATAATTGAGTCCCAAATTTCCATCGCTAAGCAAGAGTTATCTGAGTTTTTTGTCCCATTTTACAACCTTTCCGGTCACAGTTGTTAAGTGAATAACTGCAATTAATTAAAAAAAGCGTTTAATAAGTCAATCTGGCTTCCCCTTGGTTTTGCTTGTCGGAAGGTTGCAAAAGGGGATCACATGACCCCAGGACATGGCAAGTGTCATAAATACATGACAGTTGCCAAGCGTATGAATTTTTTACCACGTGGCCATGAGGATGCTGCAATGGTTGTGTGAAAAACGCTCATAAGTCAACTTTTTTTTCCGTGGTGGTGTAACTTTTTTTTTAAATAAAAAGTTTTTTATTTTTTTTAAGACAAAAGACATAATATATCAGTTCTTCTGTGTGTCATCTCGGTGTTTCTTCGGTGACTTCTTTTTGTTACTCCTCCTCTTCTTATTTCTTCCTTAATAAATCCCATTTCTCTATTTCAATACTTTCCCCAAAATACATATATTTAATGTAACTTTCTCCTGCTTGCTTATCAAATTCTTTATCTATATCTCTTTTCTATCCAATCATAAAATTTCTCCCATATCTTAAAATATTCTGTCTCCTCTTTCTGTTTAATCGTTAATCTATTCATCTCTGTGCAGTCCAAAATTTTTCTAATTACTTCCCCTTCTAAAGGGATTTTCTCTGCTTTCCATCTTTGTGCAAATATTATTCTTGCTGCAGTTAATTATATGTATAATCAAAATGTATACATTTTGTTTACTAATTTTCTCTGGTAGGATACCCAGGAGGAACAAGTCAGGTTTTAAATCGATATGTTGTTGAGTCATTTCTTCTATCCATAATCTTAATTCTGCTCCAATAATCTTTAGCTTTAGTGGTGGTGTAACTTTGAACGGTCACTAAACAAATGGTTGTAAGTGGAGGTCCATGTTTTTTAGCCTGTCGTTTCCAATGTTTTATGAAAACCCAGAAATTGGTTTAAATCAAGGACCCAGACAGGGACGTACCCTTGAATGGTACACCCATCAAGTAAATTGGATTCACACAACACCCTCAGGCAGGGGTGGGCAACTGTGGCCCTTTTACAACCTGTGGACTTCAACTCCCAGAATTCCTGAGGCAGGCAAGCTGGCTCAGGAATTCTGGGAGTTGAAGTCCACAGGTCATGAAGGGGCCGTTATTTGCCCACCCCTGCCCTCAGGCACAAGTTAGGCCTTGTGAAAAGGTGTCTGGTCAAAGCCTTGTTGCGGGTTGTATTTAAATCTTGAATTATTTCCCCGTTTGCATACATAATATAAATTCTGGCAAATCGGACCGGGAAAAGTCAAGGAAAAGAGGGAACGTCACTCTGCACGCGCACAGAGGCACCGTTTAAAAATAAAACTAAAACAAAACGTTTGGGCTCCTCTAGCCCTTTCCACTCGATGCCCCCCAAGTCCTCCACCGACCCATAATGCCACGCGCCCCATATACTCGCCCCGCGCATGCGTACCCCTTACTCTAGCCAAACGCTCAGACCGTATATTTCCCCCGCCATCTCTTATCTAACAACCAACCTTGCTTTAAATAAATAAATTAAAAAAAGAAACCTAAGAAAAAAAAAGGGCGGGTCTCACATAATAATTAAAAAACCCTCTCTGCCTCCTCACACGCCAGCAAAACCTCCCGGATTTCTTCCCACCCCTCCTCCGCTCTCGGATTGGTCGTCGTGCGGCCGTCGGGACCAATCCTTTCCTTGCTCAGCGGCGGCGCCCCGCGGTCCCCGCCTCCCGCCTGAGGGGGCTCGCTCGCCCATTGGCCGAGCCACGTCGCGTCTCTCCGTCCCGCGCGGCCAATCAGACCCGCCCGGTGTTTTCTGTCAGTCACTGTGTGGTGGTTGGAAGGGAGAGGCGGGGTGGGGGTGGGGGGGGAGAAGGCCGTTACGCACCCACCCACCCGCGCGCGCGCGCCCGCCTTCCTATTGGGCGCGGCCGCCGTCCGTCCCCGCTGGGTGCTCGCAGGAAGGTTCGGTTGACCGCGTGTTGTGAGGCGAGCTGGGAAGTTGGGTTGGCGTGACGGGGCTGGGTCGCCGTCGCTGAGGGGGCGGCGGAGCAACAGCAACAGCCGGAGCCGCCGCCGCTGCGGCCGGGCGGCCGGGAGCGCGAAGCCGCCGCCGCCGCCGCCGCCTGAGCAGGCCCTTCCTTTCCTCACCCGTCGCCTTTCTCTTCTTCCTCCTCCTCCTCCTCCTCCTCCTCGTCCGCCGCCGCCTCTTGTGGCGGCGGCTGCGGCGGCTCCGCCCGTGCCGGTGGCAACAGCAGCGGCGGCAGCAGCCATGACGCTGGAGTCCATGATGGCCTGTTGCCTCAGCGACGAGGTGAAAGAGTCGAAGCGCATCAACGCCGAGATCGAGAAGCAGCTGCGGAGGGACAAGCGCGACGCCCGCCGGGAACTCAAACTGCTCCTGCTCGGTCAGTCCGGCGGGGAAGGGGAGAGGCCGAGCAAGCGGGGAGGAAAGGCGGAGGCGACGCTGCCTCTTCTGGGGTGGGAAGGCCCCATCCCCCTTGCTTCCCCCCCCCCGCCCCGTCCTCCCCAGGCTCTCCGGAAAGGCCGGCTCCCCCCTCGGCTCTTCGGCCGGGCTTATTTCTGCTGCGCATTTCCCCGCCTCGAGCGACGCCCGGCTGGAGGGTCCTCCTTCCCCGCTTCCCTCCCGAGGGCCTGCGGTGCCCGCTGCTCCTCCGCGGTGGCATCGGGCGGCTCTTTTTGCTTCCCTCGGGGCGAGGGAGGGAGGGAGGGCGCCCCTCGGGGTGGGTCCCTGGAAGGGTCACGTCTGAACATCCCCTGTGCGTGGACACGTGTGTCGGTATAGGCGGCTGGGTGACTTAAATGCGTCTGTAAGGGAGATCGGTGGATGTAATCGTATCTATGGACAGGGTGTGTGTGATATATATATACAGTTATATGTATACATGTATGTGTGATATGTGCACACAATTATATGTATACATGTATGTGTGATATGTGCATGATATATAGGTGTCTGTGATATATATACCGGTACACACAATTGTAAGTATTCCTGTGTGTATGTGTTCTATACAAACACAAGTATACATGTTTGCAATCATGTATATACAGGTGTGTGTCGTGTGTGTGTATGTGTATGTGTGTGTAAAATGTGTGTATGTATATATGTGTGCATGTGATATATACATGCCTGATAAGTGCACACAATTATTTGTATACATGTGTTATATTTACGTGCTTGATATGTACACACAACTATTTGTATACATGTGTATGTGACATACACACAATTATATGTACACTTGTGTGTATGATATACAAACACAAGTATATATGTTTGGAATCATGTATTTACAGCTCTGTGTGTGTGATTATACAATTATATGTAAATGTGTGCATGTGATATATGTATGCATGTCTGATAGGTGCACACAATTATTTTTATACGTGTATGAGAATTATGTACACATGTGCATATGATATACAATTGTATATGTGTGCAATCATGTATAAATGCAATCATGCATATGTGTGTGCAAATAAGTATGAGTTGTATACACAATTTTATATATGTAATTATATGTATATTAAATATGCAATTATTTATATATACAGTTATAGATTAGTGTGAAATATGCAGTATTGTGTATATACACAGACGTGCATCTGCCATCGTTTGCATGTATCTCTGAGCACCTTCTTCATTACTCTACTTACTATTTCCTTTCTGGTAGGTGTTTGTCTTCCTCACTTTCTGTGGGTCCTGCTGGTTTCAGGTGGCTTTTCTGCTTTTCTTAATGGTATTTATGAGAGAGATGCTTCTTTTTCTCTAGCTCTGCCTGCCTGCCTTCCTCTTTGCTTCTGTCTAATCCACCCTGCCCACCTCCCTGCTCAAGCTGAGTGTCTGAAGGGTCCTTTTCCACTCTCTGTTTTTTCATCCTCACAAGGGAGAGAGCTAGGACAGGCCTCAGAAGGGGTTCAAGGCTTCTTTGCTGTCCAGGTAGACCGTTCAAGTGCTCCTTTTCTTAAGGGGGACTTTTACATCCCTATTATATAAGGAGAGGGGATGGTTTCTTTTAGGCAACATCCTTCATCATCTTTGTGGGTCCTTAATATTCACAGCAACCGTCTGAGGTAGAGTCAAAAAAGAGAGAGTTTCATTTCCTCCCCAAAACCTCCCCAGAAATTTCTTGAAATCGAAATCTGTGTAAGGGCCTTTTTCTCTTCTTCCTGCATTTGTCATTCCTTCATCCTCTGAATCCCATGTGATATTAGGGTGGGATTTATTTGGCTTCTATTTCCACCTCTCCCTCATTTCCTGACAGATCAGCTCAACATATTCTAAGCATATATCATTGCTGGGCCTGTTCGATCATTGATTGTGTGAGGTTTTACTGAAGCGACTGTAATTGGCACCGGGAATAATTTTCTAGGATTTGTGTGCATTAAAATCTTGTTGATTTTTATATCCTCATTTGCACCCTTTTTCGGTCTTTAACTTTCACTCCCTGTCATCCAATTATTTGTGGGGCTTTGCATCCTATTTCAACCACTCTTATTTCTGTCACTTTCCCAAGTGTTTTCTCTATTCTAATTCTGTGGTGGTCAGCTTTTTTTTTTTTAAATAACATTATTATCAGTTTGTTTTGTACTTTGCTTTGCCTGGCTGTTGTTGGGTATACATACTTAGTAATATCTCAAATGCCAAAATATTGGAGTTTGTTTAGAAAAGAAGATGGAGAAAAGAGGGGAGGGAGGTTACATTGATTAACATCAAACTCTTACAGGAAACTCTGTTCTTTGCACTCTGAGCAGGAGTTTTAGAATGTAAGGAACTGCAGTCAGTTTTGTAAAAAAAATTTTTTTTTTCCTGGAGTTTGTTATTACCCATTAATTTGAGATTAATATTCCACTATCCTCACACCTCTTAGAAACATTGCATGTTTGAGCATACACTTTTCTGGCCTTGTTCATTCTGTCTCTTCTTTCCAGAGAAGGGATGGTAATAAATTTAACATGCATAATTTGATAAGGCACAGAGAAGCGGTTGATAGGCTTATATGCAGGTTGAGGATGGCATTTCTCAAACAGAACCAGGTGATTAAGAAACAGGAAAGAAGTTTTGAAGTAGCCATGGTAATAATTCTTAGATGCGTGGTCTTAAGTAATGGGAATTGGCTAATCCCGGTGGGAGAGGAACCGGGTATCAAGAAGAGCAGGTACAGTCAGAATCTTGATGGAGAAGGCTATAATTTCACTGAGGGACCTTGTATGATGTGCATGTGCTGGGATCTATATTCCCTAGCCTAGCCAATAGCCCTCTTGTTAGGGACTCTTCTTGACTACTGGCCGCCTTCCTTTTATATAAGTGTTACATTCCCCCTCTCTCTAGTAAAAAAAAAAACCCTTCCTATGGCAGACATAGATTATAAGATATCCGTCCTGCCCATCCTCCTTTAGCCTTGTTTGCAACCCTTTAGATTCCTTCCGTGTTGTTTTTCTATAATTTATATCCTGCTTCCTAGCTAAACGGATCTCACAGTGCCTTTTCTTTGCCTCCCCCTCCCCCTGTTCCAAAGTCACCCCCTTCATAATTGTCTCCATCTGTGTGTGTGGAATGTTTCCCTTTCTCTCAAAAGCATGAAGTCTAAAGCCTCTATCCTCTTCTCCTTTCCACCCTCTCTGGTGACTTTTCCTTTGGTACAGTGTCTGCCAGTGCTGTTTAGATACATTACTTCCTCATACCTAGCAACTTTATTTTCAGTCTTCCATGCTTTCAAAGGAATTTGCTCTCCTACTTTCTTTTCTATTGAGCTATTCCTTCTCCTCTATGTCATTTTTGACAGCTTTCATCACTGATGTTTACAGTGATGTGAGTCCTCCCATACAGCTTTGTGCAGTCTTTCTTTTGCTTCTCTTCTGCCCGCCTGCTTGCCTTGTGTCCCAAATGAAACATATTCAGGTGAGGAAAAATATTTATGAACTTTAAGCCTTAGCAACATTTTTAAAGATTTGGTTTTAAACTTTAGCTTTCAATCCTGAATAAGGTTGAAAATAGGTCTGATGAGGGTTGTGTTCTTGTTTTGGGGGCTTCTACCTTGGAGGTTTGATTTTTAAGTCTTTTAAGGCCTGCATTGGGCAACAGGTGACTTGCTTAATTGTAAACATCAGACTTTGCATTCTGGGTTCACAGAATGGTGAATTTTCTTTCAGTTGCACTATTAATCCATTTCTTAGTTGAAATAACCTTTTGGGGGAAATAAATCTCTGTCACTTCAGATCTTATGACGTTGGTGTTAGTAGAAATTTTTTTTTAAAAAAAGTGCAGAACTGATTTGTAAATCTCTGTTGCTCCTAAGAGTCTTGGATTCAGATTTAACTCAGGCTGGTTTCCTGTTTTGAATTCGGGATGGAGTCCATCAGTCCCAGAATTAATTTTCAACTACATTGATGTTCTGTTTATACAGCCCAGAGCTAAAGGGCAAAAACCTATCAGTGGATTCAATATTTTAAACTTTTTCAAAATTTAATGAATATTTTTCCATGGTAATTTTATAAGGTAATCCTTATGAAAAGAGAAATTTTGAAATGTGGATCTTGTTGCACTGTGGGTGCTTATTATAGTTGTGGAACAGGAAATTTCCAGTTATAATACTACATCTTTTTATATTAGTGTTTCTCAACCTTGGTAAGTTGAAGATGCATGGACTTCAGTTCCCATAATTCCCCAGCCAGCTTCGGAGAGTTGAAGTCCATCTGCCTTCAACTTGCCAAGATTGAGAAACGCTGTTTTATATCATTAACAATTAGTTTTCCCCATAACTAACCTTTGCCTTCTCATGTTTTGGTTCCACACTGTATTTCTTGCCAGACTTTAGCCCTCATCCAAATGATTGTGGTGTTTCTTTTACCTCTAGTAATAACTATTAAAACAAATCTTTTGCAACTAGTTATTGCTGTGTAGCATGATATAACATTAGTATTACTGTGTATTTTAAACATTCATTTAAAAAAAACCCCAATAATGACATTACTTTTGAAATACACTTACTTTGATAAGTAATGATTCTGTGTTTGTACGACAGTTTAAGTTACAGGCATAGTTATTGGTGTGCTGACTTCAATTCTGGGTTTTATGTCAAAGAGCATAAAAAGTGGAATATAAAATAGCAGGTAGTAAATAACTCTTCACCATTGGAAGATACAAAAATTTCAACCTCTCTAGCAAAAAACACATTATTAAAAAATTGGTCTCATATAATCAAGGCAGTTGGCTACAAAACAAATTTGCAGAGTGGTATTTTTTTGAAATAGTTTATTAGATTATGGAGGAGGGCTAATTGAAAGCAAGTGAGCAAAAGGTTAATTGAATACACTGTTGTCTCCATAATGCAGAGCTTTTATTCTATGATATTTGTTTGTATTTCTTAAAATTACATGGACACATTGATGAATGGTTACTGTTAGATGTTTCTCTAAAAGAAAGAAATCCTACATCCTTGTACTTTGTTATGATTGCTAGCCAGAATGATCATGGAAATCCCCTCAGATCTTGTCTCATGAGTGTACACAATTTCGTGTACCGATATTGTGTTAGATTATTTTGTGTTCTTTGGCATTGTTGTTTTGCCCCTTATGATTGCATTTGTTAGTATCCCTTAAGTGACACGGTATGTATCTTTGCTCAGCTGGGATAGAAAACATAGTGCTGTTTTGTCAGGAAATAATGACCAATTTTTAAAAACAAATTCTTTTTTTAGCTAATAGTGTGCTAGAAATATTCTGATCTGACAATAGGCATGGATATAGGATTAAATCCTTGAAAATAAGTTTATACCAATTACCATCCTTAAGAATTGTTTTCTAGTGACTAGTCTGAGATAGTGACATGGCTATTAGATTCTTAGCAAGTGAGCTAAGAGAAGGCTTCCAACTATCCAAGCCAAATCTCCAAACTTGGCAACTTTAAGACTTGTGGACTTCAACTTCTAGAATTCCTTAGCCAGCATGGCTGACTGAGGAATTCTGAAAGCTGAAGCCAACAAGTCTTAAATTTTCCCAAGTTTGGAAACACCTGAAATAGAGCACTGTGATTTGTTATTGCTGCTCATCTCTGTATGGAATTTCTAAGGTTTAAGCGAGTGAAGCTTTGCTTGTCAGAATGATATTTGTCAAGTTTAATTTTTTTTAAAAAGGTTTTATTTAGGTGACCTTCAGAAATGTATTACCATGCACAGTTCTGAAGATAATGCAAAATCTTTTTTCATTAATTTGCAGTGTTTCTACATAAAATAAAAGATGGTTAGGCAGTGTAGCTCTTGTAACACTTCCAGGGGATGGCTACAAATTACGGTACTTTACAAATGGCTGAAGAGTTGCAGAGTTTTCGTTTTCTTGTCTGAAATCTCACAATACTTCACGCAAGAACTCCGTAATGTTGTGGAATCTTGGGAACAAAATTGCTACAGTCTTGGCAAGTTTGGGGCAATTTTTAAATTTTTGGACACCTACGAATTGATTGTAGGTAGAAATAATTTCCATTTTTTTAAAAAAATATATTTTTTGTATATAACACTTGTTACTATTTCTGATTATTTAAAGCATAATTATTTTTAACTATTGAGAATTGTTCAGATATACTACACTATTTTGTTTTTGTTTACTGAATATAGGAAGTCAGGTAGTAGCCTCATTATGGTTATGAAGAACATTTAGAACTCCAATTGTTGGTCACTCTATTAAATGTGCCCACATTTTATGCTTATGAGGAAAACTCTCAGCAGTGCCAATCTGTCACTGAGCAGTAGCATCATCTGGAGGAAGTTACGATGTGCACGGATTCCCTCCCAGTCCACTGGAGAATCCTTAAAATGTCATCATTTTAAAACCGTTTTCCCCCGAAGTCGTCCTGACTTGTCAACGTTGATGTGTGTGCGTGAGAAGGAAAAGAATAGGCTTTTCTAATTGAGCTGTCCATTGTTTGCCAAAGCAAAAATCTGTTCGTTCTGTGAGCATTTTTTTTAACACAGCATAAGCTGCTAATTTTTACCACTCACTTTTGCCCTGCCAAAAAAAGTGTGAGTACTTATATAAAGTACTGCTGGTGTGTTTCCTTTAGAAGTGTTATCTTCTATTTGCATAGGAAGAAAATTGGTGAAGTCATGTAAACATATCCTAAAGTTGTTGGCTTTAGTTTCTAGAGAGGAAGCAGGTTGGCAAGAGACAACCTGGTGTGGATCTTGTCCAGTCTTTGGATTGCTGCAATCAGTTGTTGGCTGATGTTTTGGTTGGGTGAGGCAGGAAGAATTACTCTATTACTCACACTGGGATTAGAAGCTAGGTTCCTAGTATTTATACCAGATCTAGATAGTCCACAAACCTCACATTTCCTGCCATTCAGAGGCCAATGCTGGCCACTGTGACTCCTCTGTATACCTGAGGAAAACTCTAAAGATTGTGCAGCCACAGGCCTTGTTTGTTACCATTTATTTGGCCATATTTGTCCTGTCGTAATGTAATTGAAATTTAGTGGCAGGAATTCTAGGTTTCTTGCCAGTTTAAAACTACCCTGGAGAGAACAGCCTTTGTAAAGTTTGGTGCTGGCATCTAGTGGTTATTCAAAATTATTCTATTTTACACAAGAATGCATAATTCTGAGGAGAGATATATAAGGAAGAAGATACTGCCTCCTAAAATTTTAATATGGGATCGTGGCAGTGGTGGGTTGCTCCTGGTTTGGCCCGGTTCGGCCAAGCTGGTAGCAGTGACGCTATTACGTCACCGAACTGGTTCTCTTTCTTCGGGAGCTGGGCCCTCTCGCCCACCCCCGCGTTATTCCGACCTTATATTTCTTCTTTTTTTGCCCAGCTGAGAGGTGCGGCAGAGCAGATTGCCACACCTCAGCTGGGCAGATTCGCAACGCGCTTGCGCAAAGCACAAGTTTGGCATGCAGGCGAGCGAAGCGAAGAGGCGATCGCGCACGAAGTGCGTACACAAAGAGAACCAGTAATAAAGCCGGTTAGAACCCACCCCTGGATCGTGGGCTTTGAAAATATTTTCCAGAGCCACATACATACATACATACATACATACATACATACATACATACATACATACATACGGATTTATTGGCCATTCAAAGTCTTGCCATTCCAGTAAAGTTTGTGAACGTATTTATTATCCAACCCAGTAGTTTTTCAATCAATCAGAATAGAGCTGGAAGGGACTTTGAGGACTTCTAGTCCAACCCTCTGCTCAAGCAGGAAACCCTATACCATTTCAGACAAGTGATTGTCCAGTCTCCTCTTAAAAAACCTCCAATGATGAAGCACCCACAACTTTTGAATGAGATGGAATAGAAATATCTTTATACATGAAAGGACACAGCTGCTTTCAAAGGGTTTCATTCAAATAACACAGAAACGTAGAATCTCATATTTTCTCAGTCTGCCTCACTGCTAGACCACTAGAAAAGGGTTATATTTTAAATAGCCTGTGATAATTAACTTGTATTTTCATGGGTTTTTAGCATGGGATTGAAGGTTTGGGAAGCACTGTAAAACTGGAAGAGCTAAAGTTTGGTCAGGAAAGAAAGAGAAAAATCTTGAAAGATAGGCCAGCAATGCAGAGTTTAAATATTGACAAGGAGTGTAAGCTGGATGTTGAAGGGATGTTTTAAATATTCAGAGTACTATTGAGAAGCAACATATAAATATCTAAAATAAAGTGAGAGCATACTGGCTTCATTTACTGTACTCACAGTAGCACTTGAAAAGTACATATATGTATGTTCCTCACACAATTCTCATAATGGTAACCATGGTTTGGAATTTCATCCCAAACCCCTACTGAGAAAGAGAAAAAAAATCACCTTGTCAAAAACACCTTTACTTGTTTGAGTAAAGAATTAGACCTACAGATCAATAGAATGTTGCAACCCCTCTTTTCTCACAACAAACCCAAGACTGGCCAATTTTCAGGGCCTTATAGGGAGACATGTCCCCTGACTGCATCTGGGAATAAGGTATGACTAGGAGGGAGCCAAACTATGCCAGAGTGACAAGAAAGTACCAGGTGATGTTGGGTCTTTTGCAAATAGTCAGAAAAGTAAACTATTCCAAAGGAGATGATTTTAGGCAAAAGGCTTAGAAGAGCCTCTTCGTTTTTCTAGATGACTTATTTCTAAGGTGTACAACAGCCTTTCTGGACAAACCTCTGAGATGAAATTAAAATTGGGAGTTGCATTGTTAGCCAGTATATCAGCTTCCACATCCTGGCTTTTCTTTTTCTGTAACAATGTTGGATAACACTATTGTAACAATAACAATACTGTACCAGCATTGGATCATGCTAGAAGTTGTAATAAGCATGCCTCTTAAAAGCTTCTAACACGGCATGTTTTAAATGTTCCACTGTATTAAAATTAAAATATGGTTTCCATCTTTATGAAGAGTCAGTCAGGAAGAGTGGATTTTTGACAAGTAATCAATCAGATGGTTTGGGAGAAAGTTGTTTGAACTGAGCAACTGAGAAAAGGTGATCCCATAATTTGAATAGTTATCATTTATCGTATTATTTATGAGAGCTTGTAATTTACCCAACTTTATAAATGTGACCAGGAACCAAGCAAGATAAATGCCATTCTAGGCTCCAGAAATAGTTTCCGTGTCAATGCTTGATCTCGGGATCCCACTGTGCCTTAGCGCATGTGCAGAATGCTTTTCTCCTATCACAGAAGTAATATAAAATCTGTTCCTGTCTCCATGCTAAGCTTAGGTATGCTGTTCGTCTTTTTCATTCTCACTTTCTTCTTTCAGTGAAGATGGTGCATAACAGAGCAGCTTTTCACTACAGGGTGGGGTGATTTGAAGGGTAACAAAAGTTTTTTAGTCCTTCCATGGAAAGGTCGATTGCAACATAGAATTAACCTTCCTTCTGTTTCAAAAAAAATGCCAGCTTCTATTATAAGCATACCATTTTATTTTACAAGGCTTTTTGTAGGCTGCTTTATCCCCGTGTTGTTTGGCCGGCTCTTAAAAACAAATTGTATCATAAAAATTCATGCCAGAAAATAAAAGCAAGAGAAAAAGAAAACTTCCATTTAAAGTTGCTGTGTTTTAGAACCTATTTTATCCTATCCTGTCCCACATTTCTTTTTCCAGGCACAGGAGAGAGTGGGAAAAGCACCTTCATTAAACAGATGCGGATAATCCATGGCTCGGGCTACTCTGAAGAGGATAAAAAGGGTTTCACCAAACTGGTGTACCAGAATATCTTCACTGCCATGCAATCAATGATCAGGGCTATGGAGACCTTAAAGATCCTATACAAATATGAGCAAAATAAGGTGAGGCTCAGCAGTCTGCATGTCTTTGTTCTTTTTTTTCCTCCTCATTTAACTTTTCTATTAGTTCATCAAAGTATAAAATACAAAGAAAAGAGAGCATGACGAAGAAAGAAGAGAGGGAGGGAAAAAGAAGGGATATAGTGTAACAGGAGAAAAAAAGAAAAAGGCACCGACTCCCAACTCTCTTTAGCACAGTAGAAGGTAACAACATTACAACCACAACTTTTTGCTTTTACACAACAATATGTACCTCTGTGATGTATTCCGATAACAATAAGCCTGTCTGGTTTACAAAAACAGAAGTCTGCATTTCTTTGTCCTGTCCACTTTGCAGAGGTGGGCTGCACAGGTTCTATAATTCAGAGACCTCAAAGAGCAGTGCAAACTAGATTTAGGAGTTGGCTTTTGTAAGAATCAAAGTACGGGTAGTCCTTGAGTTACGACCACAATTAAGCCCAAAATGTATGCTGCTAAGTGAAACATTTGTTAAGTGACTTTGCCCCATTTTACGACTTTTCTTGCCACTGCTGTTAAGTGAATTGCTGCAGTTGTTAAGTTAGTAACGGTTGTTAAGTGAATCTGGCTTCCTAATTGATTTTGTTTGTCAGAAGGTCGCCAAAGGGGATCATGTGACCCCGGGACACTGCAACCGTCATAAATATGAACCTGTTGCCAAGCTTCTGAATTTTGATCACGTGACCATGGGGATGCTGCAACTGTCATACGTGTGAAAAACGGTCATTAGTCACTTTTTTTCAAGTGCCGTTGTAATTTTGAATGGCCACTAAATGAATAGTTGGACGTCAAGGACTACTTGTATATCTGTGTCTGGGTAGTGAAGCAGAAACCTGTTTTAATCTCTCTTATCCCATGCCATTTTATTGGATGGTGTATGCCCTGGTCTAAACCAGGGCTGTTCAATCTTGGCAACTTTAAGACCTGCTGGCTGGGGAATTCTGGAAGTTGAAGTCCATGGGTCTTACAGTTGCTTAGATTGGACAGCCCTGTTCTAAATGAAAAGGTGTTTTTTATGGGCGGAAATGTTTTGGGAAACAACTGCGGATTGATCACCAGCTGAATTTTGCACTCCTGCTCTGTTGGTGTTAACATGCAGCTCCAGCAGTAGGATAGGAAAAGGAAATGAGTAAATAAAAGCCCCCCAAGGGACTGGACTTTCTGGTTTTTCTTTGAAGATGTTTCACTTCTCATCCAAGTAGCTTCTTCAGTTCTGAACTACTGAAGTTCTGAGAACAGAATTGAAGAAGCTTCTTGGATGAGAAGCGAAAAGCCTTCGAAGAAAAACCAGAAAGTCCAGTTGCCTCTTGAAAAAAAAACACCTTTGGGACAACTGTACCCTGGATGACTGAGAATCTCCATAGAGTGACTAAAAGTCAATTCCTGCTGAAAGGGCGTGGATAAGCTCCGAGTAAGCCATTAACACCAGATTTGCTCTCTCCTCTCATCCTGAAGGCCAATGCACTACTGATCCGAGAAGTGGATGTAGAGAAGGTTTCATCCTTTGAACAACCCTATGTAAGTGCAATTAAGACATTGTGGAATGACCCAGGAATCCAAGAATGTTATGACCGGCGGCGAGAATACCAGCTCTCTGACTCCGCTAAATAGTAAGCCAACTTATTGTCGCTTTTTTGTATCTTTCCTTCCTGAAAACTTAAAAGAAAGAAGGACTTTGGGAAGTTCCTCTTGTTAAGTAGCCTGAACTTCCTTCTATGTACTGTATTTTTCGCACCCGAGTATAAGACACACCAAGATTTTGAAGAGGTAAACAAGAAGAGAAAAGTATTTGCCCTCCCCGGCCCCCAGGAGCACTCTGCAGGCCTCCCAAACCCTCTGCATGCCCCGTTTTTGCGAAAAACGGGCCTGTTTCTGGCAAAAACAGGATGCACAGGGCGGGGTTTCGGGAGGCCAAAAATGGCTGTGTTCGGTGTATAAGACGCACCAACATTTCCATTCTCTTTTGAGGGGTGGGGGGAGTGCATCTTATACTCTGAAAAGTATGGTAGTTTTAATCCGTTGGTTTGGTTCTTTCCTCTGGAACTACAGAAACCATTCCGCCTATGTAACAAGCTCTTATATTAATTCGGTATTATGTATTTGACAATGTTGTATCTGCGTTCAATTGTGCCTTCTGCAAACTAGGCATACCTGAATCATTCTGTATAGGGCTTGGTTTCCAGTCTCCTTTGAATCTTGCTAGCTCTCCTCTGAATCTGCTCCAATTTGTCCCTGCTGCTTTTGAATGGTGGTGCTCAGTATGAGAGAAATAGGGCAAAATAGAGTAGATTGTTGCTTCCCATGTTCTGGGCATAGAATGCACCCCCAGGATAATACTTGCCTTTTGAGCTCCTTGGTCTTAGATTGGAGTAAAGTGGTGAGGAAGAATCGGTGTTGAGGCAACGTCGGTGGGGTGGAAGAAAATATTTGGATTTAAGATTTTGCAGTCTTCATCTGCTTGATATTGATAGTCATCTTGAAGGAGCTACGCAGAACCCATTTGCCCCTCTGGTGACGGTCCTTCTCTCTTGTCCTTACGTTGTGGTCCGAGTAAGGCCATAGTTTTGCTGTTTGTATTGATCAAGGTTTCTTTTGAAATCTGAAAAGCCTCAGGAGCTCATGTTCATTTCTGCATTCGTGTTTTCATGCTGAGTAGCATCCAAGTTAGATTCCTTGATCCATGCATCAAAAGTTGTGTAGATGGGATCCCCAATTGTGTGCAATTCTTAATATCTCTGGACTGGAGACATTTGGTGAAAATTAAATATGAAATGTACCACCCTCTCTTCTATATTTTTGGATGTGGGATATTGTTGGAAAGCAGCCTTGAAAGTTTGAGCAACAGAGCAGTCCTTCTGTATCTCTTATAATCTTCTCTCTTCAAAGGCATTTAATGTGGCTGCCAAACTTAAGCCTCTTTAATCCCTCCCTCATACATGCTTTTTGCAGCTATCTTACCGATGTGGATCGTATTGCCACCCCAGGGTATCTCCCAACCCAACAAGACGTCCTGCGGGTCAGAGTCCCAACAACTGGGATCATAGAATACCCCTTTGATCTTGAGAACATTATATTCAGGTAACTTTCTTTCATGGACATCTGATATTTAAAGGGTGCTTTATATAAAAGCATAATATGATTACATGTGTCTATGGAGTTTGGGGAAACAAATGCCTTTTCTTACCATGTTTCTCTGTGTCTTGTTGATAAATGAAGCCTTCCCAAGAGATTGTCACTTTAATGTGGTGGAAGAACTCTCTAGCTTTTATAACCTGACCACAATGTCATCAGGAATACCCTTCGTAACATTATCTCATATGGGAGCCAGCTTGGTCTAGTGGTCTCAAGGCATTGGGCCAGAAACCAGGACAGGAAACTTTAAACATGAAAAGGACAAGAAAAGCAATATAATTTTTTTAAAAAAAGGAAAATGTGCAGCCAAGATAAAACTCCTCAAGAACAATTAAGGAAAGGATGTAATACAGGCTTATTAGAAGGAAGATGGAGAAACTATACAGAAACCTTTAGTGGGAAACAGGATTATAAAACCACAGAAACATTTATAGAGAAATTAAATTTGACATCACCGGAAAGTGAGGTATGACAGGCAGTACAGTAAGACAATACAGGCGCAGCTGTAATGCCCATTTAAATGTTAGGAGAAGAGTTAAAGAGTAAGAACAAACAAATATGTTGTCAAATACGTTATACAAAAATATGGAACAAAACTTTAGACAATACAGGATGGCTTATTTTGTTTATTGATTATATGATTGCTTAGTTTATGCTAGAATGTAGAAGATATTAAGGCTAATTGTGAATCAGAACAATTGGTTGTAGTACCATTAGGGCAGGATATTCAACTTTAGGACCTGTGGACTTTAACTCCCAGAATTCCCAGCTAGCTAGCTGGGAATTCTGGGGGTTGATGTTCACAGGTCTTAAAGTTGCCAAGGTTGGACACCCCTGCTTTAGGGGAACTAGAAGTTGCTGAATGTTGAGTACTTCAGAACAGGAAAGGGAGCAAGGCAGAGATTCATGTTATTATTCTCTCTGTAAATTGCAGTGAGTTATAAGAATGGCAGGATTAGAAAAGTGGGAATCAACAATTATTGTGGCAGGGTTGCTTAAGATACGCAGGTTACACTCGCAGAAAGTAAAGAAGAGCTAGAAAACCTAATTATAAACACAACAATGGGAAGTGACTAATCTGAGTTCATGTTAAATATTAAAAAGATAAAACCAACATGAATTTGCTGTTGCAGAAATGAAGGAAGATGGGGGGGATGTATTTGTTTTCTTGGGCTCAGGAATAGATAAACATAGTAGAGCTTGCTGGAGACATAAAGAGGAGATCAATCTTAGGAGGGAAAGCAATGACAAACAAAGATAAGATTAGGAAGGATTTCTATGACAACGATCATAACAATAAAACACCAGTTTTCCCAGTGGTAATATATGCTATTAAACCTAGAGGTTTAAAAAAGAGCGAGAGAAAGAAAAAAAATCGCTTTTAAATTACGGATTTTGAGATGGTTACGGGGTTTAGTAGTCCTCATATTTTGAATAGCAAGAATTAGTCATTCAGTCATTGTGTCTGTCTGTCTCTTACATTTGTTAACCCCCTCAGTCATAAAAACCCTGGGCAATGGACTACCGAGTAATAACAAACCAAATCTTTGTAACCAATAAAACAATCAGTCAAAGGTAAAAACAAAGACGTACAGAGGAAGTGTCTTATGCCAATCAACTGGAGCTTTAAAAAAAAAAAACTCATTGAAAAAAGGGAGGTTTTCATAATCTTCCTAAAGAGAAACGAAGGTGCCTGAACCTTCTGAACCTCTTTTTGGGAGATGCCTTCAAATCAGTGGATTCCTGGTGATTGTTAGGACTAGTCCACACTGTTTTGGCAAGGTTTTGGGAAACGGTTTGCCAATAGCTCCTTTCTGATGCAAAGAGAGACCATCTGGGTCAAAATTACCCAGCTTGATTTTATGCATGGAAGTGGGGAACTAGGACTCATAGATTCCTGGTTTCTAGCTCAGCGTTTTTAACCCACTATACTAAACTGATGCACTGTGAGCCTCTAGGGCAGGGGTGTCAAACTCAATTCCATTGAGGGCTGCATCAGGGTTGTGTTTGACCTCTGGGGGCCAGGGGGCGGTGGCCAGTTCCACGTCACTCATCAAGGTGCCGTTTTCGGTCACGATGGCCTCCTGCAGCCCTCTGCCGGCAAAAACAGAGCTCAGGGGAGGCCATGCGTGGCTCTCCCAAGCTCCATTTTTGCTGGCAGAGGCCCCATGGGCCGGTACTTCACTGTTTCCAGGGTGGCCCCATAAGCCAGATCTAAGCACCCTGCAGGCCAGATTCGGCCTGCGGGCCTTGAGTTTACACCTGTGCTCTAGGGGTAAAACATTCAACAACATGAGCTCTGTTGCCTTATCCAAGTTCCATGATCCTTGCAAGGATGAGAGGCTCCTTGCAGTCTTTATTTATTTTATTTATTTATTAATTTAATTTGTATACCGCCCTTCTCCCTGAAGGACTCAGGGCGGTGTACAGCCAAAATAAAACACACAGATATAAAATTTAAAAAACAATTTAAGAAATATTAAATAATTTGGCCCATATCTAATTAAAATAAAACTACCCGTTTTGGACATTTAAAAATTAAGAGTTAACGATTAAAAAATTTAAACATTAGGCCAGCCCGGCTTGTTGGAATAAAAGCGTCTTGAGGGCCCGGCGGAAGGTGCATAAGTTGGGAATCCTCCGCATCTCGGGGGACAATTCGTTCCAGAGGACATGCTCAGAGTGAATGAATGGCAATAATTAGGGCAATAATAGCGGTAAAAACAACAGGCTAGAAACCAGGAAACGGTGACATCTAGTCCCATCTTAGGTACGAAAGCCAGCTGGGCCAATCACCAGGAGACTGAGAGTTCTAGTCCCGGCTTAGACATGAAAGCTGGCTGGGTAAATTGGGCCAATCACCGGGAGATGGTAAATCCTAGTCCCAGTTTAGGCATGAAAGCTGGCTGGGTGACCTTGGGTACAATCACCAGGCGGCTGTGAGTTCTAGTCCTACCTTAGGCAGTAAAAGCCAGCTGGGTAACCTTGGTCCAGTTGCGCTCTCTGAACCCGACTCATCTCACAGGGTTACTGGTGTTGGTGGGAAAACTGGAGGAGGAAGGAATATTGTGTGTATTCCCCTCTTGAATTATTTTTAAAAACAATAAAGGCGGGATGTATGTAAATAGATAAACAAAACAAAAATTCACATGCTTTAGATTCACGTGTTAGATGAGCAAGGGGTAGTTTAGGAAAAAGGGGTGGAAGAGGACGAGGCAGAAATGCCGTTCTGCTCCTGAGGCTGGAAAACTGCAACCCATCAAGGTAGGGAGTAGATTGATTAGAAGAGATGACAGCACAACAAATAGGTCTAAAACCAGAACTGTTCTTACTAGGTATACTACCGGGGAAATAGAACAAAAGAATTACATACTTAATGTTATATGTAATAACAGCAGTGAGAATCACATATGCACAAAATTGGAAAAATGAAAGTATACCGATAGATGAAAAGGTAATAAAGAAAATATTAGAATGCGCCGAAATGGACAGGTTAACGATGGAAATTAAGGATAAAGAGGAAACAGAGCATTAGTTAACATGGGACTTATTGTACAAATGGTTAGATAACAGGTGCAGAGATTAGTAACTTAACGAAAGAAGATTGACAGAATAGAGATAGATAGATAGATAGATAGATAGATAGATAGATAGATAGATAGATAGATAGATAGATATAAATATAAGCATATATACTATAATGTTACCATTGGACTGTACTCGACTTTAAAGTGTATAGAGTGACAAGTGTATAGAATGCTATGGTATAACTATGAGAATAACGGTTATAACTAGGACGTACAAGATTATATTTAAAAGAGACTACATTGTATAGGGGCGCGGTGGCTAAGATGCTGAGCTTGTAGATTGAAAGGCCGGCAGTTTAGCGGTTCGAATCCGTAGTGCCGCGTAACGTGGTGACTCCCGTTACTTCTCCCAGCGTCTGCCAACCTAGCAGTTCGAAAGCACGTAAAAAATGCAAGTAGAAAAATAGGGACCACCTTTGGCGGGAAGATAACAGCAACTCTTCAGTACAATGATGTTCGGGAAGAGCTTTTGCATAAAAACTGGACAGTGATCAGTTGCCCATTCTTTCACCTAGTTGCAGTGTAATAGCAGAGTAGAAGCCTTCAGGAAAAAGATGGACTGTAGCCGGGAATCTAAAGGAGCCTTGGTAGTACAGTGGTTTAAAGTACCCTGTTATTAACACAGCTGCCTGCAATTACTGCAGGTTCGAATCTTACCAGGCTCAAGGTTGACTCAGCCTTCCATCCTTTCTCAGGTAGGTTAAATGAGGACCCAGTTTGTGGGGGCAATAAGCTGACTTTGTATAAATATACAAAAGTATGAAGGCTATTGCTTAACGCATTGTAAGCCGCCCTGAGTCTCCGGAGAAGGGCAGCATATAAATCAAATTAAAAAAAAATAAAAAATAAGCACCACTACACAGAATATCTTTCTCACACCAGCCTTGCTGGTCCCCGACAATTCTGCTGTTGCAAACGTATTGGATATTCTATTATTATTTTTTAAAATTTGATCTTGGGGATTGGGAACATTGACGGATCAATGAGCATTCACTGTTGTTCTCCCCCCCCCCCCCCCCGGTCTGTCTCTTCAGAATGGTGGATGTTGGTGGGCAAAGGTCAGAAAGGAGGAAGTGGATACACTGCTTTGAAAATGTAACTTCCATCATGTTCTTAGTAGCTCTTAGCGAATACGACCAAGTACTGGTGGAATCTGATAACGAGGTAAGCAAAGTGACTAGCGGCCGGCCTTGGCGTGCGGGGTTTGCTCTGTCGTTGATGGTGGAGCGGCTGGAAAGCTACCTTGTCGAATACTTTTAAAGAGATGATTTGGGACACACTAGCGACATCAACATTTGTCACCTTTCGTCCTGGAGCACGAGAGTGAGCAAAATGACGTTAGAAATCCTCGACTTGCAACCATTCATTTAACTGTTCAAAGTCACAACACCACCGAAAAAAGTGACTTATGACCATTTTTATGACTGTTAACAGCATCCTCATGGTCACATGATCAAAATTCGGTCGCTTGGCAACAGGGATGTATTTATGACAGTTGCAGCATCCCACTGGGGTCAGGCGATCTCCTGTTATGACCTTCTGGCAAGCAACGTCAATGGGGAAGCCAGATTCAATTAACAACCGTTTTACTAACTCGACTACTGCAATAAATTAACTGCAGCAGTTAAGTTTTAGACAGGAAAAGGAAAGATCTAAAATGCGGGAGGGGGGGGAGAACTCGCTTAACAGCTGCCTTGCTTAGCAACAGAAAGTTTGTGGTCAGTTGTGGTTGTAAGTCGAGGACTACATGTAGTTTACTTCACAGGTCCCTGTGAGCTGTTTGCAACCGGGTTGTGGAAATGGCAGGCGAGCATGTGTACACGTGCATCCTCCATTTGTGCGAGTGCGTGCACTCACACACGTTCCATTGGTGTGAGGGGTGGGATTGCACGGAAATATTCCCTCCCCCCCTCCACCGCCTCCTCCGCAAAGCTGGAAATATTGGGAGACTCTTGGTTTACTCGGCACGGTGGATTTGATTTAAATCGAGTTGATTTAAATCACAATTTAAATCATGATTTAAATCACTAGTAAAAAGGCTTGATTTAAATCAACTCGATTTAAATCATAATTTTTAAAGAGCAACTGTCATCTCTACTACTCCTTTGACCCGCTATTGACTCACCAATAGTCCCAGTGTTGCAGAATATACAGCCTCATGCTACATAACTAAGCTCCATTTCATGCTGAATAAACTCAATTATTTATGTATCTTAAATAGAAAACTATCTTACGATAGATTTTTACCCCAAAAGTTTTTTATTAAAATAAGTTCGATAAAAATCAAAAAAATCCGATTTAAATCAAAAAAATCCGATTTAAATCAAAAAATCTGATTTTTTTTTTATTTTTTAAAAAAATCATTGATTTTTATCCACCCTGTTACTCTGTCAGTTGCTGACCCTGCAGCCACTTTCCTCTGAACATTTTATTATGTACATTTATCTATATATACAGTCATGGCCGTAAATGTTGGCACCCCTGAAATTTTTCCAGAAAATGAAGTATTTCTCACAGAAAAGTATTGCAGTAACACATGTTTTGCTATGCACATGTTTATTCCCTTTGTGTGTTTTGGAACAAAATCAAAAAAGGGAGGAAAAAAAGCAAATTGGACATAATGTCACACAAAACTCCAAAAATGGGCTGGACAAAATCATTGGCACCCTTTACTTAATATTTGGTTGCGCACCCTTTGGAATAAATAGCTGAAATCAGTCGCTTCCGATAACCGTCAATAAGCTTCTTACACCTCTCACCCGGAATTTTGGACTACTCTTCCTTTGCAAACTGCTCCAGGTCTCTCTTATTGGAAGGGCGCCTCTTCCCAACAGCAATTTTAAGATCTTTCCACAGGTGTTCAATGGGATTGAGATCTGGACTCATTGCTGGCTACTTCAGAACTCTCCAGCGCTTTGTTGCCATCCATTTCTGGGTGCTTTTTGACGTATGTTTGGGGTCATTGTCCTGCTGGAAGACCCAAGATCTCCGACGCAAACCCAGCTTTCTGACACTGGGCTCTACAGTGCGACCCAAAATCCATTGGTAATCCTCAGATTTCATGATGCCTTGCACACATTCAAGGCACCCAGTGTCAGAGGCAGCAAAGAACCCCAAAACATCAGTGAACCTCCACCATATTTCACTGTAGGTACTGTGTTCTTTTCTTTGTAGGCCTCATTCCGTTTGCGGTAAACAGTAGAATGATGTGCTTTACCAAAAAGCTCTATCTTGGTCTCATCTGTCCAGAAGACGTTTGCCCAGAAGGATTTTGGTTTACTCGAATACATGTTGGCAAACTGTGGTCTTGCTTTTTTATGTCTCTGTGTCAGCAGTGGGGTCCTCCTGGGTCTCCTGCCATAGCGTTTCATTTCATTTAAATGTCGACGGATAGTTCACGCTGACACTGATGTTCCCTGAGCCTGCAGGACAGCTTGAATTGCTTTGGAACTTGTTTGGGGCTGCTTATCCACTGTCCGGACTATCCTGCGTTGGCACCTTTCATCAATTTTTCTCTTCCATCCACGCCCAGGGAGATTAGCTACAGTGCCATGGGTTGCAAACTTCTTGATAATGTTGCGCATTGTGGACAAAGGCAAATCTAGATCTCTGGAGATGGACTTGTAACCTTGAGATTGGTGATATTTTTCCACAATTTTGGTTCTCACGTCCTCAGACAGTTCTCTTCTCCTCTTTCTGTTGTCCATGCTTAGTGTGGCACACACAGACACACAATGCAAAGACTAAGTGAACTTCTCTCCTTTTTATCTGCTTTCAGGTGTGAGTTTTATACTGCCCACACCTGTTACTTGCCCCAGGTGAGTTTAAAGGAGCATCACATGCTTGAAACAATCTTATTTATCCACAATTTTGAAAGGGTGCCAATGATTTTGTCCAGCCCATTTTGGGAGTTTTGTGTGACATTATGTCCAATTTGCTTTTTTTCCTCCCTTTTTTGGTTTTGTTCCAATACACACAAAGGGAATAAACATGGGTATAGCAAAACATGTGTTACTGCAATACTTTTCTGTGAGAAATACTTCATTTTCTGGAAAAATTTCAGGGGTGCCAACATTTATGGCCATGACTGTATATCAAAGCGAAATACCACACAAGCATCATCACAAAATCTCCAGAACCGTAAAGCCTACAAACTTGAAATTTGCCACGTATGTTCCTCTTGGCTTCTAGGTGCTCGCTGAAGAAAGGATTTTTCGAAATGACCATCAGATCATTAGTATTTCTGATATTATTATTAACACGCTGTGATGCTAAGGAGTTCTACTCCCCCTCACCTGAAAAGAACTCTGTTCCAACTGCCACTTGGGCATAGGCGTGGCCAATGTGTGACTCATCCGGCCTGTGGGCTAGGAGTTTAGACATTTTACTCCCCACCTGAAAGGGAGAGAAGGGGATAAGATAGGAGAGGCTTCTGTGGGGCAAGCCTGAGGGAGAGAAGGGGAGAGGAGAGGCCGATCTGCAAGTACTCATTAATTTTCAAGCTATAAATGTCAAGCCCGATCACATAGTTTCTTGGCGGAGCACAGGTATCCAGCTAGTTTATACATATAAAGTCATCTGCAGGGAGGGAATAATGGTTGGGCAAAGAAGCTTTTTAGAGACAGCCCTGTCCCCTGAGCAGCTTCCTTCGTCCAGCGTCCTCAGAATAGCAGCCTTATCTCGGCAACAAGAACATTTTTTGAAGCCCCTGTCTTTCCCAAGTCGTATTTCTTGGCTCAAGATTTTTATTTATTTCCTTATTTATTTTAAATGGAGGTCTTATAGACGGGCTGCCTTAGAGGAAGCACTGAGATGTTCCTTCGGTTCTCTTTTCCGAGAAGGACCCAAAAAATATGGGTGGGGATCCAAGTTTGCTACTTGGCTTTCGAAGTGATCATTTGTGCCCTGCAGAGTTCTTCCCTGGGTATTGGGCCGTGAGGGCCTGGTGGATGCCAAGGTTCTATTCAGGGGTGGGCTTCAAAAATTTTAGCAAGGGGTTCTCTGCCCGGTTGCTGGGTGGGTGTGTCCTAGTCGGCCTTCTGCACCACAGCGGGGGTGGTGCTGGTTTGCCCTCCCCGGGCTCCAGAGGCTTTGCTCGAGCCTCCAGGAGAGTGAAAACAGCCTCCCCAGGCTCTGGAGGCCCTCTGGAGGCTGGAAATGGGCCCGTTTCCAGCCTTCCCATACTTCCGGTAGGCCCATTTTTTGCCCTCCCCGAGGTTCCGTGCGTGCCCTGCACTTACCTGCATCCAAAATGGGCTGTGTGGGGACTCCGGGGAGGGGAGGGGAGGGGTGGGTGGGGCCATCCAAGAGTGGGATTTGGGGGTTCTCTGAACTCACAGAATCTTAGCTAGAGGTTCTCCCGAACCCCTGCGAACCTCCAGCAGCCCACCCACCCCTGGATCTATTCCACCCCTTCCCAAATAAATAGAAAATCAACAAACATTTGCCTTTTTTGTCCCCGAACCTTACAGTCCATTCTCCCCTCACATGAAAGCAGCAAGGAGACCGGTCTGGGTACCCATTTATAATACAGTTCTGGCGAGCAGGCAGACTTGAAGTTGTTCCCCTGCGGTCAATTGTTTGCTTATTTTAACCTTTTTTCAGGATTTCTAGATACTGTTATCTTTCTGAAAGGAGTGTCGTAAAATCAGGAGGAAACAAAAACCTCGACAAGCAGGGGGAAAAAGACAATGCAAGGTGTACAGGTAGTCCTCAACGTACGACCACAATGAAAGCCCAGAGAGATTAAGGCAGCGTTTCTCAAACTCAGCTACTTTAAGATATGTGGACTTCAACTCCCAGGATTCCTCAGCTGCATGGCATGCACATAGCTTAAACGTTTCTGAGGTTGAGAGACACTGAATTAAGGCATGGTTGAAAATGATTGTGGCAAACACTTTTATGAGACAATGGGGGACAGTTGTACAGGTGGTCCTCGACTTATAACAATTCATTTAGTGACCGTTCGAAGTAACGGCACTGTAAAAAGGAACTTACGACCGTTTTTCATACTTATAACGGTTGCAGCATCCCCATAGTCATTTGATCCCCATAGATCAAAATTCAGAAGCTTGGCAACTGACACACATATATGACAGTTGCATGTCCTGGGGTCATGTAATCACCTTTTACGACCTTGTGACAAGCAAAGTCAAAGGGGAAGCCAGATTCACAAGAGCTGGGTTATTACCTTAACAACTTCAGTGGTTCACCTAATAACTATGGCAGGAAAGGTCGTAAAATGGGGCAAAATTCACTTAGCAGCAGAAGTTTTGGGCTTAGTTGTGGTTATAAGTCAAGGATGATCTGTGCAAGGCTTCTCCAAAATGATGTAATCCTTGTTTATCTGTTTGTTTATTGTTTCATCCCTGGATCTTAAAAAAAAATCTGCTTTTCCTTATAGAACCGTATGGAGGAGAGCAAAGCCCTTTTCCGGACCATAATCACCTATCCCTGGTTCCAGAATTCCTCTGTCATCCTCTTTCTCAATAAGAAAGATCTCTTGGAAGACAAGATCATGTACTCGCACCTTGTGGATTACTTTCCAGAGTTTGATGGTAAGAAGTTGACTTTACAGGAATTAAAATAGAGGATCAGCCCTGCTAACTTGTGAGGCCACGTCTAGTAGTAGCACCCCCTTCTGTTTGAGGGCAGCTTCAGCAAAGCATGGGAGGCACCTCCGCTTCAAACTTTTCCATTGGCCTGCTAGTTTGTAGAGGTGGATCCAAGAGGTGGTTGCGGTAGAAATATATTTTTCCTGAGTGTTCCCTCTTTCTTGAGCTCCCTGAGGGAGGTGGCAGAATCCCAGGAAATATGGTTGATATCTATCTATCTATCTATCTATCATCTATCTATCTATCTATCTATCTATCTATCTATCTATCTATCTATCTACCTACCTACCTACCTACCTACCTACCTACCTACCTATCTATATCTCTATCTATCACTATCACTCTATCACTATCATCTATCTATCTATCTATCTATCTATCTATCTCTCTCTCTATCTATCTATCTATCTATCTATCTCTGTCTGTTTGTCTGTCTGTCTGTCTGTCTTTCTGTCTATTGACTCAGCCTTCCATCCTTCCGATGTCAGTAAAATGAGGACCCAGATTGTTGGGGGCAAGATGCTGACTCTGTAAACCATTTAGAGAGGGCTGTAAAGCACTGTGAAGTGGCATATACCATGTTTCCCCCAAAATAAGACCCTGTCTTATATTTTTTTTTGAACCCTGAAATAAGCACTTGGCCTTATTGCCATGCACTCAAAAGCCCGATTGGGCTTATTATCAGGGGATGTCTTATTTTGGGGGAAACACGGTAAGTCTAAGTCAAGGGTTTCAAACTCAATTTCATTGAGTGCTGCATCAGGGCTGTGGTTCACTTCGGGGGGTGGGGGTGGCCAATTGGGTGGGCATGGCCAGTTTGACGCCACTCTCCAAACTGCTGGCATGTTTCCCCTTCGCATTGGGTAGACCAGGCTGAAGCCACGCTGGCCCGATGTTTCCTCTTTGCATTGGGTAGACCGGGCCGAAGAGACACGGGCTGGCCCCTTAACATTTTCCAGGACGGCCTCGTGGGCCGGATCTGACCACATCGCGAGTCAGATCCGGCCCCCGGGTCTTCAGTTTGACACCCCTAGTCTAAGTGCTACTGCTTTGGCTATTTTTGAACCTTTCCTCCGAACTCGGGAAGCTAGCATTTAGGATGGACAGGCAGTTGGGCTGGGCAATTTATTTTCTGAAGAGGCCACATGAGAAACTGGGATAATTGTGGAAGGCCGAACCAATATTGCTATGAAGGTGCTTAGGCACGCATGCAAGCACATAGGTAAATATAAAAAAAATTGTTGCCTTCAAAATAAAAGCAGTGCAGTTGTCCTTGACTTATAACCGTTTATTTAGTGACCATTCAAAGTTACAATGGCACTGAAAAAAATGACATTTTTCACACAACCGTTGGGGCATCCCCATGGTCACATGTTCAAAATTCAGACGCTTGGCTACTGACTCATCTTTATGACGGTTGCAGTGTCCCGGTGTCGTGTGATTGTCTTTTGCAATTTTCTGACAAGCAAAATCTATGGGGAAGCCAATTCACTGAGCAACCTTGTTACTAACTCAACAGCTGGAGTGATTCACTTAACAGCGGTGGCAAGAAAGGTCGTAAATTGGGGCAAAATGCAACAAATGTATCTCAGCAGCAGAAATTCAGGGGCTCAATTGTGGTCGTAAGTTGAGGACTACCTGTACTGCCTGCATGGCGTACGCTTATTTGCATATGATTTCTAATTTCCGATCGACCTGACACAGGCCAGTAAAATGCCCAGGTCTATCCTAGAGGAGACAATGATATTTGGGAAGAGTAAGAATGAGCTCCATCCTTTTGAAGTTAAGCATTGGAGAATAAAGGTAGTCCTCAACTTACGACCACAATTGAGCCCAAAATTTAAGTGAGAAATTTGTTAGGTGAGCTTGCTCAATTTTATGACTTTTCTCGCCACATTTGTTAAGTGACTCACTGCAGTTCCTAACTTAGTGACCCAGTTGTTAAGTGAACCTGATTTCCCCATTGACTTTTCTGGTCAGAAGCTTGCAAAACGGGACACCGCAATCGTCATAAACGTGAGTCAGTCAAGCATCTAAATATAAATCACGTAACCCTTGGGGAGGATGCAACAGTCGTAAGTGTGAAAAATGGGAATAAGTGACTTTTTTTCAGTACCATTGTAACTTTGGCCACTAATTGAACTGTTGTAAGTCGAGGACTACCTGTAGCTTGCTCTTGATCATAGCCTTCTGTTCCTTATTATAATCCTGGTTCTCTCCCGTTCTGTCTCCAGGCCCGCAGAGAGACGCTCAAGCAGCCCGGGAATTTATCCTCAAAATGTTCGTGGATCTCAACCCCGACAGCGATAAAATTATCTACTCTCACTTCACCTGTGCCACAGATACGGAAAATATCCGGTTTGTCTTTGCCGCCGTCAAGGACACCATCCTGCAACTCAACTTGAAGGAATATAACCTAGTCTGACCTTGAACGAATCTGTCCTCTTCTCCCACCCTCCCAATCCGCCCCTCCCTTAATCTCCTTGGGAGACCTTTTGTCGTGAAGAAAAGTAAGACAAACGAATCCCATGAATTTAAACCAACAGGAAAACAATCTTGATTTTTAATGATATAATGATTGCAAATTGTCTGATCTGTGGAGTGGCAATGGTTTTTTTTTTTCTTTTTCTTTTTGTTTTTTCTTTTTTTAAGCACACCGTTACCTTCGATTTCGTGTCTGCCCCACAGAATAGCTGATTTTTTTTCCTCCTTTTTAAATAGCTTTTATTTCACAGTTTAAAAACAGTGGAGGGACATGCTTCACTCTTTTTCCCTCTCTGGCACCTTGTTGATTTCCTGCTTTGTTGCCAGCAGTCAAGGCGGTTTCCTCTTAGACTTTGTACGTTGCATTAGTAAATCCTTTTTTTTCCTGTCTGATCTGGCGATAAACGTGTCCCAGAATATCAAGCCAAAATAATGAGCTTTATTTGGCTGTGGGAGTATAAAATGCAGCTAGGACCTTCAGCTTGTGCCATATAATGCCTCTGGTGTGAGTCCTGCCCCCCCTCCTCCCCGTACATCTTGACTGTAAGGATATGTGCCGAAAGGGTTTACCCTAGATGACATCATAAAGAGGAAAACCCAGTTTATTTGGCGACAGCGCAAAACAAGCCGTCTTTTGGTTCCCGCGTTCCTTTCTTGCTTTTTCCGCTCTCGCTTTCGTTTTCTTCCCACCACCAATTGCGAAAGTTCTATTGAGACTGTGATTTTTTTTTTAAATTATTGTTCTACACATAGTTTGCTACATGTGCTATACTTTTGTTTCTTGACTACCAACCAAGCAATAGCTATCAAGCCTGAGGGAAGTGCCTGATTGCTTTTTTTTTTTTTTTTTTGGTTATCTTTTGTTTTTGTTTTCTAATTTAGAGTTTAAGGAAAAAAAAAAAGAAAGAAGAAGAAAGTTTAACTTGCTTCTCACCCAACGTGAGAAAATCCCTTTGGTGGAAATCTGAAATCTGCACCAGATTTTGGGCCAGAAGGAAGATTTGAGGTTTTGACTCATTCTCTTGGCTCTTTTGTGCATGTGCGTGTGTGTATGTATGTGTGTGTGTGTTTTGCAAATGAACCCTTTCGGGTCGGGGAAAAAATCCTGACCCAGTGTTTGGGCGGGGTTGGGGTTGAGATGGTGTCTGCATTCTGAGTCAAACTGAAGCAACCTTTTTTTGCCTTGTTGGTCCTAAAAAGTATTGGAAAGGTCTGTTAGCTCTTGGCATGATTGCAGCCAAATCAGAGGGGGCCTTTGCATGACATTGCTGAGGCTGGTGTGATTGGCAGCTGCTGCCATCCATCCTCCCATCTCTTGACTCCGTTCTCTCGGAAGCCGACATACTCTGGGGGTGCCAGTTGAGCGCGCATGAAAGAAGCCGAGCAAAAGGGACCTGTGGAATAGAGGTGGTTACAAGTGTAGCTTTGAAGTGGGCCAGGTGAGAGGGGTCCCTTTCCGGAGGCTGAGTGCCAAATGTGTGCCCTGCTCAAAGCCAGTGCCAAACCCCAAACTTTTGCCAGTCTTTTTTTGGAAGGCAGATTGCCACAGGACCCAATTAGGGATTCTAGAGAAATTAGATGGTCTCCCCACTTCCTCCGGAGATCCCGTGTAGCAGCAACACAATAAAAGTGTCTCGCAACTGCCAACCGTCACATTTACAGATGCCGCAAGAAACAGCCTTTTTCACAAACAGGACAACGGGCCGATCCCTGTAATGCGGGGGCAGAAAAGGATGGGAGCGTCCAAAGTGCTTTTTTTCTCTCTCTCTCTCTCCGTTTTGTCACGTTGCAACGGGCAACACTAGTGGACTTCCTCGCATGAGATGTTAATGAAGGGTTTGGGGGAACGTGGTTTGCTTCGACACAACAACACTAATTTCACATGGACATTTGCAGCATTCCAGCGGGGTGGGAGGGGGCGGGAGAGGGTGCTGCCTTTGGCTTTCTGGGACCGCCCCTTTTTTTGTGGAACACTACAGAAAGAAGCCGGGGGGCGTGGGGAGAGCTGCATTTTTTGGGGGGTGGGTGGGTGGGGAGTCCCTCCCGCTTACCGTCGCCTTGTATCGACAACACACCGTGAACGAGAAGTTGTTAAAATTGGGAGAAAGTAACCTACAGTTACTGCAGAGTAACTACACAAAAGGGCTTGTTGGGTTGATGGGGGGCGGTGGGGGTGTGTGTGAAAAAATGGAGCTATTTTCCAACGTCACCAACATTCCTGACTTTTTGTTAATTGTTTTGATCTAAATGTCTTGGGGGTTGTGTTTTGGGGAAAGGGGGGGGGGCGAATGGATTCCCCCTCGATAGGCAGAGGAACATGTTGAATATGTCTTCTCGCCCAAAGACCCAGACTTTTCTTTCTACAAGGGGAACTCTGTTCTTGCAAAGGTGCCATGACTTTAACTCTCGAAGCCCCTCGCCAGAAGTGTTTTCTTGGATGGCGTGAGCCCCTGCCTCTGCGGCGGGCTTTCACTGCGGCCCTTGGACCTGGACCTCGGATTGGGAGCACCTGGCCCATCTCTCTCTCTCGCATCGCCTTCCCAGGAAACGGGCCTCCATCCCAGACCGCCGTGCCTGCCAAGCGGGCCCTTCGTCCCCCACACTTGGGGGGGGGGCTGCATGGAGACGCGTGAAGGGGGTGGCGGTGTCTCTTTTCTCGCGAAGCCGCACTACGTGGACCAGCCGTCGGGACGGACATCCCACCCGGGGGTCTCTGCTCAGGAGCGTGCCAACTTTCCTCGTCCATTGAAGCGTTCCTTCCTTCCCCTTCCGTTGGGCTGATGGGAACTGGCCGAGGTTCCAAATGATCCCGAAAGAAAGACGCCGGGTCCCTGAAATCGGGCCTGCGCGTGGCGGAGGCAGCCAAAGTTAAGACGGGGGAGAGCAGTCTGACCATGTTCTGTTCACAGTGCACTTTATATGAAAAAAAAGAAAAAAGAAAAAGAAAAAAAGTAGAATCCTACTGAAGACGCACTAACCTGCTCGCACACTTCGTCGGACTGCAGGCGGGAAGAGGATTGCCAAAACACACCATTCCATTTCCTTCGGGGGTGGGGGAGACTTTGCGACGGTGGGCCCACCTGACCGGCAGCTGCCCCCCCCTTTCAACGGTCTCCCCTTGGGATCGAATTCTCCACCTGCTTTTTGCCTTTTATCGTGTGTTCCTCCTTCCCTCCAAACACATGGCTACTTTGGAGGGGGTGGGCGGGGGGGGGGTGCTGGCCGTAGGATCGCGCTTGACCGGAAAGGAAGGCCAAGTTCACCCATCTGAGGTTTCAAGTCTGTAATTCAGTACTCCGTGTGTGCGTGTGCGTACGTTGTATACTTTTTTTTTTTTTTAATTTTGAAGAAGGAAAAAAAAGCATTACATGGTTTTTGTGCCAATGCCCATCCTTTTCTTTAGTACCAGAGACTCTTTTACAAGTACCAGTGTGGTGAAAAATTATTTGGTTATACTAGTATATTATAATAAGAGAACCTGATTTTAAAAAAAGAAAAGAATAACATTTAAACATCCTATTTAAAAAGAAAACAAACTACTATATATATAGTATACTACTATATATATATATATATATATATATATATATATAAATGCTGTTTTTAAAAACTTTTTTTTGTCATTTTGAACTTGCATGTGGTGTTAACACGTGGGGGCGGGGTGGGCAAAGGAGGGGATTTGGAATTTCGTGGCCCGGGATTGGTATTTTTTTTCCCCCGTGTTCCTGTCTCACTCTTCCGACGGCGAGGAGGCGGCAGAGACCGGGTTTTCTCGGAACACTTGAATTCGTTCATCTGCTGGGTGCTGACCCTCCTTATTTTAGAAGTACCTGATGGAAAATTGATTTTTTCATAGCTTTCTCCTGAATAAATTGTTTGAAATTGGAATAAAATTCATTCCTTACAAAAACCATCCTCTGTCGTCCTTGTTCTCCTGTGTGCTTTTTTTCCCTCTTTTTAAAAAAAAATCAAGCGATTATAAGCAGGCCCCTTAACTTACAAAGTTCGCTTAGTGACATTTCAAAGTTACAACAGTGCTGGAAAGGGTGACTTGTGACCGTTTTTCATACTTGCGACGGTTGCAGCATCCCCAATGGCCACATGAGCAAAAATCAGACGCTTGGAAACTGAGTCACATTTAGGACAGTTGCGGTGCTCCTGGTCAAGTGATCCGCTTTTGCGACCGTCTGACAAGCAAAATCAATGGGGAAGCCTGATACGCTTAACAACTCTCTCACTAAACAGCTGTGGCAAACCCGTCATGAAATGAGGCAAAACTCGCTTAACAACTGTCTCTCACTTAGCAACAAATTTTGAGCTCCATTGTCGCAAGTCGAGGACTACCTGTAAACTGGATGTAAATTAAATTGGAAAATAGCTTATTCACCCCAATAATAGAGTTGCTCCGGGTAACAAAGTGACTGGCGTACAGATTTAATAAATAAATTTGTATGGTTGAGATAATTGACTGGAGGAAAAGCATTTATCTTTTATTTGAGAATGGGAGGAAGGCCGTTCCCTGGCTATTCAAACACAGAATATTCCTCATATTAGTTTAAGGAAAATAGGCTTAAACCAGTGACGGCTAACCTTTTCCGGACCGAGTGCCCAAAGCATGCGCATGAATGCGCTTGCATGCGGCCGAACCCCCAAAATGCAATGCGCACATGGCCCTGCGTCCCACCTGCCGCTCATGCATGTGCGGCCCCTATGCCTGCACCTTGCCCCCATGCATGCGTGTGCGGCCCCCCCGCATGCACCCCACTCCCCATGCATGTGTGCATGGGGGCCCCGCACAGGCCCCACCTATGCACAGCAGAGACACGAAGACCAGCTGGCCAGCAGGAGGCATGTGTGCATGTGTGGCAGAGCTGAACTGGGGTGACTTCTTGCGTGCCCACAGGGGGCGTTGTGTGCCACCTTTAGCACGCGTGCCATCACGGCAGTAGTGGGATTCAAGTAATTTAACAACCGGTTCTCTACCCTAATGATTTCCAACAACCAGTTTGCCAAACTGCTCAGAAAGTTAACAACCGGTTCTCCCGAAGTGGTGCGAACTGGCTGAATCCCACCACTGCATCACGGGTTTAAACTATAAAGCAAGATTAA